TGTTGTGCGTGCTGCTGTTGTGTGGTGCGTGGGGGTGATGTGTGTGTGTGGTGCTACGGTGTGTGTGCTGCTGTGTGTGCGTGGTGCTTTGTGTTTGTTGGTTTTGGTTTGGTCGTGCTGTGAGGTGCGCTTGTGGTGGTGGTGTGTTGATATTTGTTTTATATTTTTTGGTGAGTTGTGGTTTGGTTAATCGTGGTGTAGTGCGATGACGGGTGATGATGACACACCTCCTAATCCTCCTTCTAAGTACGAGCCGTTCACCGATTACTACTTTCATCCTAGTGAGGGCTCTCAATTGGTGATTTGTCTAGTGTTTCTTACCATTGACAACTATGAAGAGTGGTCGAGGTCAATTCGCAACAATCTTCGGTCCAAGAGCAAGCTCGGGTTCGTGGATGGCTCTATTGTTCAACCCGATCCCAAGCATCCAGATTTTCGTCAGTGGGGTATTGTTAATTCTACTGTTGTTGCTTGGATTTATAATACTCTTGATGTTTCAATTCGTTCTACTGTTATTATTCCTAATGATGCTAAAACTTTATGGGATGATTTGCGTGATCGTTATTCTCTTGGTAACGGTCCTCGTATTTTTGAATTGAAACATGATATTGCTGATTGTAAGCAAAGAGGTCGTTCTGTTGCAGTTTATTATGGTGAATTGAATAAATTGCAGAATTTATTGTCTAGTTATGTGAAATTGCCTACTTGTACTTGTTCCGCTGCGAAACAATATGCTAAGTTGCATGAGAATGAGTTGTTGCATCAGTTTTGTCTTGGTTTGGAACCTAAGAAGTTTGGTTCTGTTGTGTCTACTTTGTTGATGAGTGATCCTTTGCCTTCTATGAATGCTTCTTATGCTAAAGTTGTTGCTGATGAGCGTAAGCAATCTGTGTCTGAGGCACATGAGACCTCTTCCTCTACGACTGTTGGTTTTAATGCAATAGGTACGGCTTCCGGTCAAACTACCGAACGGATTGAGTGTACTTATTGTAAAAGGTCTGGTCATGATAAGGACCATTGTTATCAACTTCATGGCTTCCCGGGTGGGGGGCGTGGAGGTCGTGGTGGTCGTGGTGGTCGAGGAGGTAGTGGTGGTCGGTCATCTGGTAAGGGCAAGGGTGAGTTTGCTGGTGCTGCTGGAAATTCTCGTGGTAATAATGAGCCAATTTCGGATTCTGATCGTGGGAGTGTTCCTACGATTACTGATGCTCAATGGAAGGAACTCATGTCTGCGGTAAAGGGTGCCAAGTCTGGTTCTTCGTCAGATGGCAACAAACTTGGTACGTATAATTCCTTTGATTGGCTCATTGACACTGGCACTTCAAATCATATGTCTGGTAATATTGATCTTTTCACTGATTTACATGACATCTCTTCGCCTGTTGGTTTACCCAATGGGAAGAGCACAACGACAACGAAGGAAGGAAGAGTTATTTTGTCTGATAATTTAACTCTTGATAATGTTTTATATGTTCCTGCTCTTACATGCAACTTGTTATCTGTGTCTCAATTGTTAGAAAAACGATGCTATTTTATTATGTTCACTGACAAGCTATGCATTATTCAGGACCGCAGTTTGAGGAACCTGATTGGAGCGGGGGTCCAATGTGATGGGGTCTATATTTTTCGTCCGGTTCGTGCTCGGATTCTGCAGGCAAACAAAGTGGTTATTTCAGATGCAAGTTTGTTATGGCATAGGCGTCTCGGGCATCCGTCAATGCAAGTTGTGAGCTCTCTTCCGGGAGTTTCTAGTAGTCATAGTACTCATAGTAGTAACTCTGTTTGTTCGTTTAATTGTGACATTTGTTTTATGGGGAAGCAACCCCGAAACTCTTTTCCGTTAAGTATGAATAAAGCATCTGGAATTTTTGATTTAATTCATTGTGATATTTGGGGTCCGAATAAGATTGCCTCTAGTTGTGATGCTCTTTATTTTCTAACCATTGTTGATGATTTTTCTCGTGCTACTTGGGTGTTTTTGATGGTTGGTAAATATCAGGCTTCTCAGTTGGTTCGTGAGTTCTGTGCTATGGCAAAGACTCAATTTGGTAAGAAAGTCAAGGTAGTTCGTTGTGACAATGGCCAAGAATTTCTGAGTCTGGGGTCATTTTTTGCTCAGAAGGGCATTTTACATCAAACGTCGTGTGTCGACACGGCTAAGCAGAATGGTAGAGTTGAGCGTAAACACCGTCACATTTTAAATGTGGCCCGTGCTCTTCGGTTTCAGGCTAAATTGCCCAAGTATATTTGGGGTGAGTGCGTTATGACTGCGGTGCATCTCATTAATCGTACTCCGACTCCAGTCTTGAAAGGTAAGACCCCTCATGAGCTTTTATTTGGTCAGTTGCCTTCTCTTGACAGTTTACGAGTTTTTGGTTGTCTTGCTTATGCTGCGAATCGTCCTCGTGTCAAAGATAAGTTTGATTCGCGATCTCGAAAATGCATTTTTGTTGGTTATCCCCATGGGAAGAAAGGTTGGCGTCTTTATGATTTGGAGACGAATGATTTTTTTGTGAGTCGGGATGTGCAATTTTTCGAAGATAAATTCCCGTTTCTTGAGTCTCTTCCGGATGAGAGGAGAATGTTGTGGGAAAAATATTTTGCACAACCTCTTTTTATGGGATGACGAAGAGGATGATTTACGGGGTGATTTTGTTAACGAAGGGGGTGCGAATCCCGGGATAGCAAGGTTCGCAACCCAGCCGCGGCAACAACCCCCACACCGCGACCAGACCGCGGACAGCTCTGCCCAGCAGAGTTCGCAACCCCACCAGGCAGAAAACTCCGCAACTAGGCCGCGGGGAATAGCTCCCAGCAGCAGCCAGGCTGCGGAGCTCACTGCCTAGCAAGTTACACCCCCTGCTGGCAGTGCTGGTGGGCAGCAGCACCCCTGCACGCATCAGCAGGATGCTGCCCAGCCTGTGCAGGCGGCTTCCAGGCAGCAGGTGGCGCCAGTGAGCTCCGGTCAGTCCGCCGGTGGTGGTCCGGGCTCCGGCGAATTTTTTGGTGGTGTTTCTAATGTTTTCGGTGGTGTTTCTAACGATGTTTCTCGCTCCGGTGTGGTTGATGAGCAAGAATTAGATGGTTCTGCTATTTTTATTAACCCGGAATTTTTGAGGGGGAGTTCGTCGGAAAATTTAGGTCGTGGTCATCGTGAAAAGCGGCCTCCTTCTTGGCATCGGAATTATGTCACTCATACTATCATCACTGAAAATATAGATCCCTCTATGCCAAATATCGACCCTCCTCAATCACATTCCTCAGGTAAACCTTTCCCTATAGCTTGTCATGTTGAATATAATCGTTTTTCTAACAGACACAGGTGTTTTCTGGCGACGATCACTAAGGGAAAGGAACCGTCTTCATTCAAAGAGGCGGTTAAGGACGTCGGTTGGCGTAAGGCTATGCAAGATGAGATTGATGCTCTAGAACGCAATGGCACATGGACCGTTGTGGATCTTCCTCCAGGCAAGAAGGCTATTGGTTGTGGTTGGGTGTACAAAATCAAGTACACAGACCAGTCAAAGGTGGAACGTCTCAAGGCTCGTTTGGTTGTTCGTGGCAACCGTTAGGTTGAAGGTGTTGATTATAATGAGACGTTCGCTCCAGTTGCAAAGATGACTACGGTACGTGTCTTGTTGTCTGTTGCAGTTTCTTTGAATTGGGAGTTACATCAGATGGATGTTCATAATGCCTTTCTTCATGGTGATTTGGAAGAAGAAGTATATATGCAATTGCCTCCAGGGTACGGTACTTCGACACCTGGCAAAGTTTGCAGGTTGGATAAATCTTTATACGGCTTGAAACAAGCCCCGAGACAGTGGTTTGCAAAACTGTCAAGTGCTCTGCGAGGTTTTGGGTTTAAAAACTCATATGCTGATTACTCCCTATTTAGCTATGTACAGGGCAGTGTCTCTTTGCATGTTCTTGTTTATGTCGATGATTTGATAATTGCAGGCAACTCTCATGATGCCATCGTTCATTTTAAAGCCTATTTGAGCAAATGCTTCTATATGAAGGATTTGGGTTTGCTTAAGTATTTCCTAGGCATTGAGGTTGCTCGGAGTCCCGAGGGCATCTTTCTTTCACAACGAAAGTATGCTCTTGATATTTTGACTGAGGCAGGAATGTTGGGTTGTAAACCCATTGATACTCCGATGGAGCAGAATCATCGTCTTGCACTTGCCTCCGGTGAGCCGTTTGTTCATCCGGAGCAGTATCGTCGTTTGGTTTACTTGTCGGTCACTCGACCGGAGTTGAGTTATTCAGTGCATGTTTTGGCACAGTTTTTGAGTGTTCCTCAGGTTTCTCATTGGGATGCGGCCATTCGTGTCTTGCGCTATCTTAAGGGTAGTCCGGGACAAGGTATTTTGTTGCGACCTACGAAGGATTTGCAATTGACAGCTTTTTGAGATAGTGATTGGGCGGCATGCCCCTTGAGTCGGCGTTCTTTGTCAGGTTATTTTGTTTTCCTAGGTCGCTCCCCTGTTTCTTGGAAGACTAAGAAACAGCCTACTGTAGCCACATCCTTTTCTGAAGCTGAATACAGGTCTATGGCTTTTACTTCTCGTGAATTAAAATGGTTGAAAATGTTGTTGTTTGTTCTTGGTATTAAGCATTCAAAGCCTATGTAGTTGTTTTGTGATAATCAGTCGGCTTTGCATATCGCTAAGAATCCAGTGTTTCATGAACGTACGAAACATATAGAGGTAGACTGTCATTTTGTTCGTGATGAGTTGATCAACGGTAATATTTCTACCTCATATGTTTCGACAGGTAATCAGTTGGCAGATATTCTCACCAAGGCTCTTGGACGGCAACAGTTTGGTTTTCTCTTACGCAAGTTGGGCATTCGTGATTTACATGCTCCAACTTGAGGGGGAGTATTAGAGTTTGGTTTTTCATATATGTTAAATATTGTATATTTGAAAAATTTATCTTGTTTAGGAGTTTTAGGCAAGTTAGATATTCTATTGTATATTGGTATATATTTGTGATTAATAGAATACAGAAGGCTAAGCGTTTTCTCCCATATTTCTCCACTTTAACAACTCTCCTCTTTCACCTCCTCCGCCGCCATCTTCGTCGGACGCCGAACCAACCAACTCTAAAGGATCTCGATCATCTCGCAACCGCCGCAACAACCACCACCATCCTCCACCTACACCGCCACCATCAACCCCTGCGCAAGATGATGAAGAGGAAAGAGATTGTGGGAAGAAACCAGAAGTTGCAGAAGAAGGTGTTGGTGTTGCTGTAAATGAAGGTGAAGGAGATGGTGAGAAAGGGTGGAATCTACGGCCGAGAAGAGCTGCCGCCATGAAAGGGGCTTCTGCTACTAATTCTACTCCAACGAATACTAATTCTGGTGCTGCTACTACTGTGGGAGAAAGTGGAGGTGATAATTTGCTGAAATCGATAAGGTTGCGAGGGTTGGAGACGCAAGGAAATGGCGGAGTTAACGGCGCAGGAGGAAGTGAGAGAAGAGGGATTAAGAGGTTTTGGATCTCTTTATCGAATAAAGAGATTGAAGAAGATATTTACTCTATGACTGGTTCTAAGCCTTCTCGTCGCCCTAAAAATGTTCAGAAGCAATTGGATGTAAGTTTTAATTTCTGGGTTTTATTCATTTTTGGATGATGTTGTGTTGTTTTTGCTGATTTTTGAGTTGATGATTTATTGGGTGTTTTTGTAGAATGTATTTCCAGGGTTATGGATGGTTGGGTTTTCGCCTGAATATTATCGTTGTCTTGATGTGCCGCCAAAGGTGTGTTTTTAATTCATGGTTTCTTTGATTTTTCTGGGTTTGTGTTATTTTTGGTTGATTGTTGAATTGGGTTGTTTTCTGCAGAGGTAGATATGAACATATTGCAAAGTATTTTTGCTTAATTTCTGGTTGGTTTGGGTAGAAGGTAAAGTGTTTGTTTCTGGATTTTTTGAGCATTGATTTTGAGTTGTGTCAAATGTTGTAAACTGTGACGTTGTTGAGGGTTTGGATGTTAAGATCGTTCTGCTGTTTGAATTTTGCAGGTGCATAGGATGGGGATGATTAAAGGGGGAGTGTGAATTTTTTGAAAGCTTACCGATTGCTGTGTTCGGGCCTCGATTTGGAGGTACAGTTCTCTGTAAAGAGGGGTGATTTGGGACGTCTGGATATATAGAAGAATGATGCCCATTGACTTTTTTGCTTTATATCTTTTGGTATACATAGTAGATTAGAACTAGAGCTAGAGCAATGGCAAGGGTAAGTTAGTTTTATTTTAGATTAATTTCATGATGATTTGGGTAGTTGCGGTATGTATAACAAGGATCTTTGATGTTATGATGAAATGGTGTTGATTATAGCCTGTGAGCTTCATATAGTTGCAGCAGTTTTCGGTGACTGTTTAAAGGTTTTGGGAAAAGGTGGTTTATTTACTATGGATTATGATGTGTGACGGGCTTCCTGAGTTTGTTCGGGAACAGATTCGCATTCGTGTTCTTTATTTCGAAACCCTAAATCACAAAATTGAAAATCTTATCTGTGTTTTCCAAGCTTATTGTTTATGTGAAGAACTATTCCATCATTCTTCTCTGGCAAAGGGAATATCAGTCGAGGTCCAAATTTCATGTGCTTCTTGCATGTTTCATTCTCTCTCGTTTTTGTTGTTGTTGTTGTTATTTTTTTTTACCTGTTATGTTCTCTTGCTTGTCATTGGTAGCAAAATGATGACTAAATACAATTTTGATACAGCTTTCATTTTTTAGTTTTAGAGAGATGGTGTTAGACTTCATGAATAGATGACATTGCTGTTACATGGCATGGACAAAGGACTGTGATGGAATGTTGAGGAATAACTAATGTTGGGTTTCAATTACTCATTCCTCCAAGGAAACAATCCCACTTCACAATGCCTTGTGATTCTACTAACCCTTCTATCCTATGTAAAAATGGTAACTAGTTATTTATAAGTAGAAAACATAGATTGTTTGGAAGTCTTTGATCCTTTTTCTCTGGCCATACAATGCATATCTTCCGAGGATTCCCCTTTGTTTCCATATTCAAATCTTGCTTACATTTTCCTGAATATTTGAGTGGGTTTATGATACATATTGTGTCTTTTCGGTGCAGTTTTTTCCTGTGTCTAACTATTTCATTTATATCTCCTTTCTCTTGTCCATAATTCTTTATCATTCTCTATATTAAATTGTTAACTTCTGTATTTTGGTCCTCTTTCTGTTTATCTATCAGCTTTGGCGTTTTTTTTTTTTGTCCTAGTTCTTTGTATCAATCTGATCTATGCTGGCTAGAGGTTACATTTTATGCTTAATGGCTGCTGTATTGTCTCAGATTAGAAATACTCCATCTGTCCTTTTATTAAAGACTTGTATTCCTTTTTTGGCAAATCAAAATTAAAGACCTATTTCTATTTTAAGGTTATACTATTTGAGAATATTCTCCACTTTTTGATAAGTTGTCATCACTTTTTTGTATTAATAATGAATTTTTGCATCAATTTCTAACACTTTATCTCAATCTCTTCAATTATTCCTAACCACTTTTTTTTTTCCTCTCTCTCTCATCCCACATGCACTTATATACTTCCACCAATTTTCTTAATTTCCGTGAAAAAACCCAAATAAATCTTTAATAAAGTGACGGAGGGAGTACTTGTCTAAGTTTATGTCTTATTGGTATTTAGTCCTGATTATACGCACACTTTCTTGCATTTATTTGTAAGATGATGCGCAAGGGTCAGATTGTTATATTAGAGTCGCAGAAAAGTGGTTACTTCTTACACAGAAATGTGGAGATGTGAAGAATATTCATGATTGAGTCGAATTTTCCTCATTTACTGCTATGATAGTCGTCATCTTTTAGGTTTATTGGATAGTCAGATTCTATTAAAGGTAAGTTAGATGAAATTAGAATATAGTTCTGACTTTGAAATAGCTCACATGAATATTCTACATTCTTTCTTTTTAGGATCAATCATATGCCATGTTTGTTACAGATTCTTCATATTTAAATTGTGCTTGGACTTGTTCCTCCCCTTCTTCATAGGTAAAGTGTGCTTGGACTTGTTCCTCCCCCTCCCTTTCTTTGTTGTGTTTGGAGTGTGGACTAGTGAATGGTTGGTATACCGTCATTATTGGCTGGTCATGTGGAAGTTTATATGTTGTTCTGGTGGAAATGTGGAAATTGTTTGATACCTACAATTGTAGAACTCTGAAAGGGGGTTGTGTAATATGTGGTCTGGCTCAAGTAAATACTCCTAATATTATATCTGGAGTTTACATTTTCAACAGGGCAGGTTTTCCAAATCGCATACTCGTAGAGTCGTATACACTCAGGCATTTTGCTTGTGTTGAGAGCGTTTATAGCATGCGCGATACTGGATATATTGTATCTTCCTTGATTTACTCTCGCCTCTCGGGTGGATAATCAGTTCTGCTTAAATTGTTTGACCAACAGGGCTGTCATGTGTTGTACTTTGCTGACTCGCTTTTGTTAAAATGTTTACAGATATGGGTTAGTATTGTTCAACCAAATTGACTTGAGCCGTATATTTTGTATTCGTAGATCGGTAGATGTGTGTTTTATGTTGCGTTTGGTGGAAGATATAGATTGCATTTAGGAGTATCACGTGATATGACCTTATTTTAGGTAACTCAGATGCTTTCACGTGCTGTTTCTTTATGGTGTGGACTGTGGAGTATCACCGATTCCTGCGAATATACGAAGTATCTGACTTCCTGCGAATATACAACCAAGTATCTGACTTCCTGCGAATATACAACAAAGTAAAACTTGATCTAGTGGAAAATATTGTACCTTCTAACCTTTGAGGTTAGGGGTTCAATCCCCAGTAGAGACCCTTTGAGGGTGGAGATCCCTTACCCTTACCCTTCCCCCCTCTCTGATCGCAAATACCGAATCGTAAAAACATTGAGGGTTGATATTCGGTACTTCGTAGTTCAAATAAATTCAGATGAAGGAAAATAAGCTCTGATAAGGAGTACCCAAGTTTAAATTACAACAATAATACCCGTCAAAAAAAAAAAAAAGTTACAACTAAAATAAATTTTAATAAGTTTAGTTGAGTTAAGATCAAATAAGTTCAGATAAGTAAAAATCAAATGAATAGAACACACCCTTAATTTATTTAATTCTTTAATAGGGGTATATTTGGTTAATATGGGACTTCATTACTGAGTATCAGAGAGCATAAAATGTACTAATCTTCAGTGGTGGATCTTGGCTGAAAACATTAGAAGGGCCGAGATTTAAATATTTAACCTCTTGCTCAAAACTAATCAATATGCCCCAATAATTTATAAGTAATATACGAGTAGGTTATTTTAGTTCATCAGCTAATTAATTACAATAATTTATGGGGGGACCGGACCCCAAATAGCCCCGGTGAAAGGTTCCCTATGCTAATATCTTCCTCGTATAAAAGTTTGAAAAACAGGCAGGAGTTCGCTTAGTGCATTGTTGCAAACAAATCAGAGTAGAATGATAATATTCATATTCAATAGCAAGCAAACATAATTATCTTTTAATTTCTTTATTTGCTATTGATATTCTTTCTACTTTGATTACCTAATATGTTAGCCATTTAGCTTTGAAATTGGATCGAACTTGAGCACGAATCTCATCCTGCAATCGGATAGCTTTAGATCTTTGGTTGCTTACATCTGTAATGTGTTTGTTCCTTTATGATTCACATGGTTATGAGTAATCATTGCACTAGTAATCTTAATTGAAGTTGTTAGTGGATAATACAATACATAAAATTATAAGGATAAGGAAACGATCACTCCCAAGTGTTGTTGGTAGGATTTGGTTTGAATTCTGTCAATCAATCTTGGACCATCACTTCATCCAATTGGAGAAGCTAAATGTGGTGTACACGGGATACCCCATCCACCATTGTGGATTTATTAGGACAAAGCATCATTAACAATCAACTACTAAATTTTAATTACATAGAATACATACTCAATATATTTATATTAATGCCACAGGAGTATTAATCATAAGTTCGTGCTTATTTATGAACCTTTTTTTTTTTTACACTCCGTATTAAAGTAGTAGACTAGTCACGTATGAGGATTTGTGCAAATAGTAACATTGAAATTATCTCGTAGATTACATTGCCTTTTTTTCGGGTTGAACTATTGGCCGCCTCAAGTTTGGGGGCCCAATTTATTGCCGAATGTGGGCTTTAAATGTGAACAGTAGGCCCATGAAATTCAAAAACATAGCCCAGTCAAAATAAAACTATCCACTACACTTAGCTGAAATCCTCACTTTTGCTTTCAGCTCAGCTCATGTCTCTCACTCTTACTTCTTCCCTCACATTTCCTTGCTTGTCTCAATGTATACTTTCAATAATGTACAGTATTTGTTTCAAAAAAAAAAATAAAAAAATGTTCAGTATGATTTTTACGGCATACAATTTTAACATACTAATGATCAAAGTTTTGTATTACAAGTAATAAAATGTTTATTGACTTTATATCTCCTCTCTTATCATGATCAAGCCACAATCAACATTTTTTAAATCATTTTATCGAGGGAAAATTATACTTCTTTACTTGATATACTCCAATAGTACAAAATTCTATGTAGTTCTTAAACGTGACAAAAGAATTTACATGTAAATTGTTTCACACAATTAAACTTACTTTAGATTTTATGTCACGATCATATAACATCTTGATTCATCTTTCCCTAAGAACATCAATATGTGGTAATAATAATAACAATAAATCATTTTCAGTATAATTGGAATTCTTATCAGAAGGGAGGAAAAAAAAAAAAAAAAAAACTATTGGGTTTACGCAAAACTTCACAATCATGGATGAAACTTGCCCTTGCCACTCATTTGATAGCAACACAACTATAAATATTATGTATTCGGACATAATAATTGGTTCAAATTAAAGTTGAAATGAAATATTAGGTCCACAAAATTATCTATATTAAATATTATACATAACATTCAAACACTAGATTAAGACCGAAAGTTACTATCACAGCATTTATTGCCAATCAAATAATGTACAATTCATGTAAAATAAACCAAGACACAACAAGTAAGATACAAAAAAGGACTTCATCACGATGGCAAGCAACTCAAAAATGTTGAGATAATATTAAAAGAGATTCAAACTTGAAGACTGACTGACTATAAATAGTGTTAGATGCAGAAACAAAATATTTCTAAGACTACTTTTACTAATTTTGGTAGAACAAATTCAACTTTTACATGTAATGTTTTCTTAAATGAGCCTTTAATTAAGTTTAACATTTTGTTTGTTTGTTTAGTCTTGATCCTCTTCGTCTATCCATTTCTAAGTACTTCATTCATCTTTTAAAGTTTTTTAATTTTTTAATTTTATTTTTTTAATTTATTTTTTAAATTTTGACAACAATTCTATTAGGTATATGAATAATCAAAATATTCTTTCAAAAGAAATAAAAAAAATTAATCAAAATAGAAAAACTTTTAGAACCAGATAGAGTAACATTTAACTTCATACGAAGTACAAATTAAACACCATTCACATTTAAAGTGGGGTTGTAATTCTTTTGGCCCCTCTTTTTGGGGTTGGGGAGGGGGTGAAGGGATAATAGCCATAGAAAAATTTGAAATGAATAAAATTAAAGCAAACAGCTCTTGTTGAAAGCTCATTTTCATATCTTTATTTCTCTTCAATAACTTCATAAATGTGTTCATTAATCTTATACGAGTAGGTTATAATATACCAATTACATGTTTAGTTATAAATGGAAAAAATATGACCAAAGGACACCCAAAAAATCAAGCAAATTATATAAATAGCTAATGTCCTACCTTTTTAAGCAAAAATAAAGGCATAGATTTAAAGATCAAGTTGCATTGAGAGGCATAGACAATAAGATTAGATATTGCGTGTTAAAAACCTCTTTGCATGAATATATTCTTAGAATGCTCAATATATGTATGTATTCTTATGCTGATTTGTGTAACACTTTCGACTTGATTGAATTTTGTATCGTAATCAAGAATATCACCAATGTTCATGTACTTTTTCTTCCCAATGGATTCAAATTGGTTGTATGAGCGCGAGCACATTCCACATAGAATAACGATCTATCAAATTGTCTCTCATTCAGATCAATATATATATATATGGAGTGACTCGTAATAGAAGATCCCTTAACGTGTACATCTCTTTATTTATATTCCTTCCCTAAAGAGCTCTATGTTTCCATTAAAGTAGTTACTTTAGGAATAGGATACCATATGATATATTGAAGAACCTTGTTTAGTTTGTCACAATCTTGGTCCCCATTATCCTTGAAACTAAATACAAATGTAAATATAAATACTTGTATTAAAAAAAAAAAAAGGTGGTATAAAATGGGCTACTAATAATAGATGAGTGAAATGGGGGGGAATAACTTTTGGGCCGCCTGAGATGAGATCATATGGGATGTAGTAATGTTGCGTAATGGATGAAAAAGGACCACATTAGTGGCACTATCATAACCTCAGTTTGTCTAATTGGGCCATATACATCTCATATAATTGTGGTCCATTTGTCAATTTAGTTATCATTTGAGCATTGTCTTAAAGAGGGAATATGGTTAGAAGGGTTTTTTTGCCTTTTGGGATAATCATTTTTGGCTGGCACTCTGCTTGCAATTTGTCCCCACTTGCGTGGTGGAGTCTTGTTTCTCTCTCCGTTTGTCCCAAGAGCTACTACACTAGTTTTAACCATAGGTTTACGTAAATCGGGTAGAATTTTCAAATCGACCTGTAATAATTTATCGTGAGGACAGAGATTAGAATGATCTTTCGATATTTTATTTGGATTTTTGGATGTTTCAAGCTAGTGCGGGTCTTCAAGGACTTGCTATAAAAGTTGGCAAACCAAACGTGACATTCATGTTAATTGAAGTTCATGGGTTTTTTTTGTTAGGTCAATTTTCATCTACTTATTGAAAATTTTACGTATTAGATTTTTTTGATGCAGGCAACTAACTATTATTAGCATCTACAATTTTCAGTTGGATGTAGCCATGTAGGTAAATGTTTACTGTAATTTTTTAAATTTTACTAAAAAGGGTACATAATCAAACTACAAATCACAAAAAATAAAAATAAAATAATTCAAAGTATCGCAGTAGGTGTACGAAAAATAAAGTACTCCATCCATTTTTAAATACTTGCTCTATTTCTTCACACGCAGAGTTTTAAGAGAAATTGGAGAAAAGTAATAAAATATTAAGGTAGTGGGTAAGTAGAAGAATAAAAGCTCTCCAAATAAAAAAATTGAGCAAGTATTCAAAAACGGTCGAAAAGTGAATAAGAACGGAGGGAATATATAGAACTTTTTAGTAAACATACTAAATTTTAATTGTACTTGATTTATATGTATACCTAATTAGAAAAATATCATTTGAAATCCCATTATATTCGTTTCAAAATCTCTTAACAAATAACTTTTTTAAAAAAAAATGATGTAATTTCAAATTATACGAGTAGTATAGTATGTGTATTAAAGACATTTAAAAACAAATGTAAATAGCAAAGAAATGTTACAAGGAGTACAAGATATCTGGAAAAAATAAATAAATAAATAAATAAATGGATTGAGGCTATTTAAAAAGGGGACGATTGGAAACCCATTGAATCATAACTCCTAAATAAGAATATTCCAATCGAAGTTATGGATATGGATGTTTTAGCTGAGAAAAGGTGACATTCTTAGTTAATGATGACATGTTAGGCTACAACGTAGACATTTCACACTTTGAAAACCTATTTTAAAGTGAGGTCTGCTTTGAGTTGCCGGTGGCAATTGTCCAATTACAAGAAAGCATTATACCAATCATTCATTTAATTAATTTTCTCATTTTTTTAAGCTTTACTCTCAATCAATCAATTATCAATAAAAACACAGTCATATTTAAATATTTAATCATCGAAATTATTTAAATTCAAGTATTTTACAAAGAAAAAACTAACATTTCTAATTGGAAGGGGGCTAAATCCGTATTAAAGTTAGCCATACATACCTATACCCTTTCACCAAAGAGACGGGACATGAAAATGACAAAATCACCAACTTATGCTGAATACACACCCTATAATACTTGGTGTAAAACAACAATTTAGGTGGAAAACTTTATAAAACATTCTATTGATCTTTAGCAATTACTCCGTAAATATTTATTACTCCACATATCTAAATCTACTCCGTATTAAAGAAGACCATAAAGAACAAGTATTTCAAATAATATATTTTGGTATAACAATACAAGTCATAAGTTGATTGGAAATTTACACAAATGAAGACACAACCAATTCAGAGTATGAATTGATTTTGATGTGCTCACCATGCAACTAATTAATCTTCTTTTCCAATTGTATTGGGGATAATCAACCCTAGCTACTACTCATAATAATGAAATTTGCCTTCTCACCCATCATTTTGCCCATTTTGTTGATTTGGTGGTGATTAACTAAATTAGTACTCTATATACAAAAATTGATTGGTCTCGAAAGGGGAGTGGCAGTTGAGAATACTAAAGAGTGGCGTTTAATTATCCAACTAATCTCTTTCTATACAAGAATTTGTTTTATACCATCATTAAACATGCTTTTTGTACAATTAAATTTTTATCCCTACTAAGTAAATTGAACTACTCCACATAAAGGAATTAATGAGAGGTATTTTTTATCTCAATTTTTATGTAAGATTATTTTGTTTTGACTAGGATTGACGAAGATCTACTTGTATAAAATATAGAGTATAATTTTTTGAAAAAAAAAATATAGTCGTAACTTTTGTAAATAAAGAGTGATTGTGAAATTACTAAATGAAGTAGAAGGGTGTTTGTGTAATTTCACCTTGAGGAATGCGTTGATTTTGCAGACAAGTGAACAAATTAGCAAAAAATTGCTTCCTAAACACAATTTGCTGCTATTTTTCCTTGACAAACTTGAAAAGTTAACGTGATCCTCCAATGATCAAATTTTTTCACTTTTCCATTCCAAATTCAAATATGTCCCATGTAAAAATTTGACTAAGTATGTTATAGTTTGAATGAAAATATTTAACATCACAATAACAGTGTGACAACTAAATCCAAACGGGGTTAGGTAGCTTTGATACACTGTCACACATTACTTATTTTGATGCTTAAAAACATAGAGTAATTTCGTTCTTAATTTGCAAATAGCTTTAATTTGAATAAGAAATTCTCAAATTCACGCTATACTCATTTATAGTAGCAATAATTAAGACCCCGATTAATAATCACAAGTTAAGGAGTAAATGATTGGGTTATGCACGAGAAAATGCAGGGAAAGAAGAGTCAAAAACAAGATTGCCATAAATATGGGAGAATTGTAAGCTAATGATCCAACTATATAATAATATAATTAAATTTAATTAATTAGATAGATAATTTACAACTAAACATACTTCTCTACTTCTCATACCTTTCTCCTGAATCTAGGGAGCCAAATCAGCACTATTTTTTGTAATTAAACAAAAAAAAAAGAAAAAAAAAGCTAAACAACATTCACTAAAAGAGGATGATTTTTTTTTTTTGTTGGTTTGATCTAATTTTGATTGATGGGTCAATAAAAACCAAAACATATTAAAGACCACATCAAAATCATCATATTAATCCTAACAAATCAAAATATTACATGACTAATTTTTATATCATCACATAACATCTCTCCTTTTCTTTTTTCTCATCCTCCAGATCTCATGACCAAAACCTGTCAAATGACGGAAACACCCTTGATCACGACCGAGGTCGAAGCGCCTCGAAGGATCGGATCGGGACAGGGGAAGCAACCGCCCACGGGTTAACAGGCATGGGCCGATGGTGGGCCGTGTGATTGGGCCGTGAATCAGGGATAGTAGTAGAAGGTTGTTGTTGTGGCTGAGTAGCAGGCGATGATGAGGTGGCGGAAGGTGGGACCGCCACACGCTCACATGAAGGGCACATGGTGAGGGTAGTTGGTGGGTTCATTTGCATGTAAAATTGTGGGGACAATTTTAACGCTCTTAGTTCTTGCACTTCCTTTTGCAGCCTCCTGTTTTCTTCTGTTAGCTGCTCACAACACCGCTTCAAGAACTCGCAATCTACTTCCGTTTGCTTCAACTTTGTCCTGTAAAATCGAAGGTTGATAAAACCGTTAATACCATTACTAGCAAGGGCTAAGACCAGGATAGATTAATTTAAAATGTCAGAAACGGCACTGGATATCTACCTTGCTCGACGGTTCTGGAACCAGACCTCGACTTGGCGTGGCCTTAGGCCGAGACGTTTTGCCAGAGCCAGCTTTTGCTTCTGTAGAGAAAGCTAAAACCATGTGAGTGAAAAGACTAGAATACCCTTATTATATAAAAATAATTCAAAGAAGATGTATATCAAATACGTACGGGGTTGAGGGTGTTGTGTTCTTTGAAGCTTTCTTCAAGGATAGCGGATTGATCTTTGGTTAACCGGAGTTTCTTTCTAGAATTTTCACCGCCATCTTCGTCGTCGCTAAATCCGCGAGACGAAGCTCTTTCGACCTCGATATCGTCACCTGCGCCGGCGGTTGTCATGGAGTCTCTCTCGCCGGAGCTTCGTTTACCGCTTACGGTTGAAACGGTGCTGTTTGGGGATGATACTCCGGCGTCTTCCTCGTCACCGCCGGCGGGTCTGTTTACGTCGATTCCCCGGAGAAATGACCGGCTTGAGTCTGAGTTCCGATCTGAAAAAACCGAAAATGAACCGGATTAATATCCAAAAAAAATTAAAAATGAAAATAGTTTAAGAGAAAGTAGATCTGAACTAACCGGAAGAAGGAGGGAAGGAGTCGGTGCTACGGTTCCATGGAAGCTTCTGGAGAAGAGGAGACGGTGAAGCGGTGGAAGAAGCTAAGGAAGGCATCATCATGAGATTAAGCTGAAGCGGGGAGGCGTTAGACGACGTCGTTTGAGGTTGAGGTTGAGGTTGATGATGATGAAAATTACGATTATTATTGTTATTATTCATGAAAAACCCAATATTATTATGATTTTGATTATGAGGATGGTTGTTGTTGTTTCCACAGTTACTAGTAGTAGTATTGTTGGAGTTGTTAGGATTAGAGGATCCTAAACACAAGCTTAAACCCAAATCTTCTTTACCAGCTACCATCATGTTGATGTTGTTGTAGTATGAGAATGAATAATAACAAACCCAGAAAGTTGAAGATTGTAGAGAGAGAAAATAAGGTAGTGAGAGGAGAGAGAAAGGGTAAGGAAAAGGGGAAGATGGGGAGGTAGGGAGAAGAAGAGGAAAGGGAGATTATATAGAAAGAGGTGGAGAGGGAAGGAGGGATGTAAGTGTAACATCATGACATGTTGTCAGTGTGGAGAGAGAAAGTATAAGAGAGAAAAAAATTTAATGAGAGGGGAGGCACTAGTCGTCGTTTCTCTCTCCTCTTTTTTCTCAATCATTTTTTTTTATTTTATTTTTTAATTAATTAATTTAACTTTTTTTTAAAATACAGTAATTAACTGTTGGGGACTTGGGGGTTGTTATTGGGTAGTAAAATCTGGGAATTTACTGTATCAAAAGAGGGTGTCTTGTTTGTGTCTTGGACTACTCACTTGCCTTTATTAGGACTATTTTCTCAACCTGTACAATATTTTCCTAAGGATTTTGTAGGACATATCATTCAATTTACAATTATTTTTTTTCTGAATTTTTTTTCAAGGTAAAAGAACATAACTGTATCAATGTTTTGTGTGTGACTGGCCACATTATGTGGCCGTTTGTAAAAAAACAAAATAATCATTATAACAAAGATTGAGCAATCCCTACAACACTGACCACATAACCCATATAACAGTAATAACACTGACAACTTACCACCAAAAGTTATTCCCATGATAGGTGGCTATAAAGCGTGGTCAGCCACATATAAGAATGTGTGATAATTTAATGGGCCGCTATAATCAAACTTCATAATCTTTACGATTTTAATAGTCCATGTAGATTATTTGATCTAATATGAACATATTTTCGAATTAGTGATAACTTGCTATTTTATGCGGTTTTAGGGCGTATTTGAACCTAGTTTACCTGAACAAATTTGTGTTTTGGTTCACTTTTACCCTATTATTATGCAATTTTTGTGATCCTATGCTTCACGGGTTGTTAGTGTTTTTGTTGAGATTTTAGGTCCAAAGACGACCAAATGAAGCCCATGGTTACCAAACCGAGGTTAGAAGCAAGGAAATGATGGAAAGAATCCAAGTACAAGAGCATCGTAGAAGAAAACACGAAGAAAAGGGCCCAGAAGACCCTGCACGGCCATGCAAGATGTTGCACGTCCGTGCAGGAGTGCAGACCTGAACCCATCTTTCTGCCAAGGCCTGCACGGACGTGCCAAATATTGCACGTCCGTGCAGATGATGCAGCACGGACGTGCTTCCGTGATTATGAGGCAACACGGACGTGCCAAATATTGCACGTCCGTGCAGATGATGCAGCACGGACGTGCCAAAGGTGCACGCCCGTGCTGCAGCAGGTCGTCTTAAACTGAGTTTCTGCCTTAGTCTGCACGGACGTGCCAACTTCAGCACGTCCGTGCAGACCTACAGTTTACCCGTTTCTTGTTTTCACCGTCCTCTTATTTTAGGGGGTAGTATAAATAGCCCCTTTGGACCATTTTAGAGGGGTTCCCAATTTTTTCAGATTTTCATACTCCTCTTAGTTTGAAACACAAAAATCCTCAAATTAGCATAGATTTTAGTTCTTGTTTTGAAGGTTTTCAATCCAATCATTATAGAAGACAAGTTCCACCATTGTTAGTCAATTATTGAAGCTTCTAGTAATTTTTCTTACTCTTTCTTTCTCTCTTCTATCTTTAATTCTTGCTTTTTATTAATTGTTTGGTTGTTCTTTGCATGTTTAATTGTTAGATTCTACTTAATTCTTAGTTTTAATTTGTTCATGAATTCCTTGAAATCTTTAATTGCTTTAACTTCCATGGATTGTGAGTAGTCTAATTTCTAGGGTTTGGGTGAACCCTCAATGTAATCACCAACACTTGTTGCATGTACTAATTTGTTAATTGTGGGGTGTTAATTAGTTGAGTTTAAGAGGTTTCATTGTTAATTCTTGTAATTGGCCATTGCTTGAATTATTTATCTAGCTTCCTCAACGAAGGATCGAGAGATGAACTTGAGGAAGCTCCCTTATGCTTGATTGACTTGATTTGCCATGAGAATAGGAATTTCTAGTCAAGGGAATTTGCATGTTATCGTGAGGATGTTTTAACACTTGTTTCTTGCCCATAATCACGAGAGTAGGTTATGGTTTTGATGTCAAGTAATCCCTCTAGCTTGAGAGAGTAGTTGGGTGCATTTGATAACTTCCCCTAATTTATCCCCTAAATCACCATTTCTATGCATGCTACTTGTGGTCCGTGATGAAGTTGAGTGGTGTAACCCATGCCCTAGGCCTTCTTAATATTGTTAATCACCTCTTAGAATTAGTTGATTTGAATTAGAATAGTGTGACGTAATACCAACTTAAAACCCCCGACTTAATCTAGCTTGTTTAAACAGTTACATTTGGTGGTTGATTCAACGCCTCTCATGGGTTCGACCCTTTCTTGCCCTTGCTACTAGTTGAGTAGGATCGAGTTAGGTCTTATTTCTTGATAGGTTGACGACGTCCTATCAATTAGCCAATGCATAACATTAATAATATATTTCTTATTGTCAATAATTTAAAATTATACTTCGTAACTGTAACTTATACATATTTAAAAAATAAAAATAAAAAATAAAAAATAAAAAAAGTAGAATGAGAAGTGTTGGATGGGATTTGACTAAAAATAATTAAGAAATAAAGTAAGAAAAAACCAATGCGAGAATAATGCATCCTTTAATGATCTCTGAAAAGGAGGAGGAGAAAAGGGTTAGTAAATTTGATCTTTATGAATGGACTTTATCTCATAATCTTGGTTTTGCTTTGCCAAATTGCATGCGTATGGGTCCTCTGCTGACCGTTGACTGTGAAGGGTAGAAGGTAAGTGAAATTATAAATTAATTAAATAAAAATAAAAATAAAAAAAAAATAACTTAGGAGAGAGAAAATTTAGAAGATTGGTTTCCTTTCAGGTGTTTGAAAATGCAATTTATGTGTTTTCTTTATTTAGAGTTCCAATTCAATCCCCTCTACTTTTTATGCCACCCTTTACCTAAACTTTTACCCTATTTTATTTACTCATTTTCCATCTTGAAAGCCACCATTTTTCCAAAAAGTAAAAATAAAGTGTTATTCTAGGCTTCTAGCAAACAAAATGCATTTAATTTAATATTTTAGTACTTCCCTTGTTAATGAAGCTAAGAATTTTTTTTTTACTTTACTTTATCTATATTAGGGTACATACCTAATTATTAATCACACACTTCTTTAATTAATCTTGAGGAATAATAGGGGGTAAAAAGGAGTTATTACCATTTACCACAGTAATAATAAATACCTATGACTCTACTCCTATTGATGAGTGAAACGTGAACAAACTTGAAAGCATTTAGAATTGAATTAAATTCTTAGCCTTTAATTATTTTTTCACCTCACGAGGTAGTGCTTTTCACATTATGTATGGTATCACCCTAATTAATTGAATTTCTTTGTAGTAGTTACACCCATTCAATTCATGCACAAACCACATGAAGTTACAACTTACAACTCATTATTTGTTTATTGTGAGTTTTTAATGTGGTATCTTTATGGCATTTTATTTTATGTAATGTTACACGCTTGCACCTAATATTTTATATTTATTTTGGTCAATCCTCAATATCATAATTGTTTCAAGTTATTTTGGTCAATTATCTATAAATAGGGTCTATGTATAGAGGAGATTAATTTGGTCAATCCATTTAAGGTACTTGTATTTATTTTATGGATTAATTTTCGAAGTATGATTTTAAATTCAGGATTTATTAACCTTTTCAATTTTGTATGTTTAGGTTTTTAATTAAAAAAAAAAAAAACTTAGAGCTTACACATCACATTATGAATAATATACAGTACAAGTACTAAAATAGCACCATAAATCGATTATAATCTCCATTGTCGTCTAGGCACAATTCCAAGCCACTATTGTAAAAAAATTCATCACACATTTCACTTTATTGAGGATTAAGTTAAGGTTTCACATTACACTAGTCACACTTTGAATATCTAATCAATCATTGTCTAGTGTCATTTTAAATTAAGTGGTTTAAGTATCAAGCAAGGGGTATTTCGAACACGATAAAGATTGTGATAAATTCACATGATAAAGTTTCTCAACTACTAATTTAAAGCTCCCAAATTGTTTACTTCTATAGTTCTATGACACAAACTTGGAGTCATCGCACTTTGCTTAAATTAGTTGTAACACTTATTATCAAATTAAAAACCCAACTTCAAGTTAGGCCCTGTTCTTTTTAAGTTTCTGGGTAGAGCAGAGCAGAGAAGCAACTTCCAACATTGCAGAGCAAAGCAAATTTCAACACAGTAGCTCAAAGTAACAGGGCCTTAGAAGATTAGTGAATGTGTTAGAAATCCTATTCAATTTTCTTCTTCAGTTTGAACACCTTAATTCCATACGTGGGGTCGGTTATATGAACCAACATGAGGACTTCCTAGGTGGTCACCCATCTTAGTACTACTCTCAATCATTGTGGCTCATGTCAAGCGATGAGACAAAGTTTTACACTGTCTGTCACTGGCCTACTGTAACCCTCCTCCTTTATCCAGACTTAGGACTGACAGCGAAAAATCCACTGGTGAAGTTAGAAATCCTATTCAATCTCTTATTTTAAATTAGTGTTCCAAAATTGTGATCACTAAGTGACTTTTTAACCATTCGTCTTGTAATCATCAACAAAACTAAAATTAATACTCCATAACTTACAATCTAAAATCATTAATTTGGAGACACGGAGACCATAAAAAAGCCCACATTCTCCAATAACCCGTACAACCCTACCTAAAAAATAAAGCAAATGAGTGAGAATGCACCATAAAAGGAAGTAAAAAAATGACACAAAAATGGGTTCAAAACTTCAACGTATGTACAATAAAATTACGTAATCTTGCATAAGAATATGTAAAAATTAAAGGGGAAAATTCGAGGACAACAACAACAAAAAGAAAAAAAAAAAAAAAGAGAGCAACAAAATAACCAACAGCAGAAAACACCATCATGATTCATGTCACACACACAGCCCTCATCATTCATTCATTAATTACATTTACCTGACCCCACCATCAGATAGACATGACCCA